CTCTGTGTTACACAATTCTACGTGCTGGATCATTCTGTAATCCTGACACTTTTCCCAGCTAACCACGAAACCCAGCGATTCGAACAAGGAGACCGCAGAGACCGTGTGATAATTTGGTCTCTGCAAAAGATCAGCAGATCGTCCAGGTAGATCATAGAACAAACACCCTCAGATTGAAGGCGGGCCGTCACCGGTTTCAACAGCTTGGTGAAGCACCACGGCATTGAGCGGAGGCCGAAAGGGAGGCAGGTGAACTGGCAAGGTCTGTCCTTCCAGCGGAAACAGAGGAACCAACACATGGGGTCCACCGGCACCGAGAGATAGCCGTCCTTGAAGTCCAGTCTCGTGAACCAATCCTTGGGCGGAGGAGGTCCCATAGGAAATGGATGCACTCCATCTTGAAATGATGGTAAACCATGAAGGTTCAGGTTTCTCAAGTTGATCACCGGGCGGAAATCCCCGGATTTTTTCCTCACCAGAAATGTGGAGCTAAAGAAACCCCCATTGTCCGGTGCCCACTGGACCGCACCCTTTTCGAAAAGGGCTTGAATCTCTGCATCTATTAGGGACTGCTAGGTATCCTCAAAGACACGGGGACTGGGGGAGGGTGAGCCTGTGTCGGCATGGAATGAAAATCTATGATATAGCTCCGACCAGACTGAAGCACCCATGGCCAGGGCTTTTTCCACGGAGGCAGACACCACCCCATTGATCATGGCCTGCAAGCTCTGACACCTAGGATACACAGAGGGCAAGTGTCACAAGCAGAATAACCGGGGCGGCACCCCAATATAGTGGCAGAGGCAAGATGGATAGCGCATGCAAGGTACAAGTGTAAGTATGGGAAAAGCCAAACCGGGGTCACCCAGCGGCAATGGCACAGACAGCGCAGGTCAGTGACATACACACAATCCATGGGCCCTTCCCCTCGATACAAACATACAGACACATACAGAGACACACACACACATCCCCTCCCAACAGACACATACATACACACATACATATACACACAGAGACACAGGAACACAGACAGGCACACATACATACAGACAGACACATACGGGCAGACACACATACACACACCCCCGACAGACAGACACACATACACACACCCCTGAAAGACATACACACACACATACAGAGACATATACAGACATAC